TTTCCAAATATTTTGTTACCGTTACCTTCAAGGAAAGTTACTTTGTCTTTTCACTCGTTTCCTAATATCGCGGTACTCCTTTAAAATAGATTTTTCTCTGGATTTTGATTAATAAAAATCAAAACCGTCTCTTTTTCTCTTATATATGCCATTAATTAATAATTATTTACCTAACGAATGCGGAAAGTGATACTTTACCGCACGCAACGGCAGTAGATCGGTTAAGCCTCTAAGGGCGGTAAAGGTAAAAGCAAATCCATTTTCTGCAAAAGAAAGGATTTTTAATCATAAATACCAATGTCTACTTTACCGCATACTATGCGGTAAAGTTAACTTTACCTCACACTTTGCAGTTCACTTTACCGCATGCTACGTGGTAAAGTGCTACTTTCCATTTGCAAATAAGGGCGGAAAAATGCACTTTACCGCACGCTCGTAGGTAATAGCTATTTTCCTAACGAGTGCGGGAAGAGACATTTTCGTAACTGCATCTATTCTTCACGTGAAGATCAACGTGTTTTTGATAAGCTTTTCAGTACTTTATGATCGGAACTTAAATTTGAATTCATTTCCCAACGGTGCATTGACGAGGAAAAGAAATCGTAGAGGTTTCGAACAAAGTCAAAGTAAATTGTGACATTGTAGAAGTTGCATTCTATCGCTACCCGCCTCTATTTTTTTTCCCCATTTTTTTTCTATAAAATTTATTCTAAATGGGGCGTGGAGGCGATGAGGCCCCCTTGGCGCCGAGGCCCTGGGCCCGGGCCCAGCGGGCCCATGCCTTAAGATGGCCCTGATTCTATATAAGTTAGCAATGTCAATTCTAAACGTTCAAGGCTTCCTTAAGGTCTGAGGACACCTCAAGGAGCGACTATAAATTCGGTCCTTAATCACTCGTCTATCGACTTGCGGCGACGACATTGCGACATCGCGCTATGTCAGTGCGGCATGCCGCCGAGAAACTATGTTTACTGAACGGCAGATGTCAAATGGCATCAAACGGAAACCCTTAGATACCTAATTGAATACAGATTCAATCATTCGGACAGCCTCAATAAATATTATCGCAATCTGTAGCTCGGACTTTATGTAATATTCAAATACCTCCCATCCATTAGAGCATAATTTATCATTTTAAAACTTGCATAATTTATATACATTTTAGCCATTCCATAAATAATAATCATTCCCAGTGAGTGATGCACTAGGATGGATTCATTGAATAACAAAGTGCCTTTATTCTATTTTCTTTTCCTGCTTTAGAATTTTAGCTTTTAGCTCGGTCCTCTCGCCTTTGTAGGTTCCATAAAATCCCGACTGGTTACAGTTTTTCAAGTTTAACTAAATTTTTAAGAATTTCAATTCCGGAAAATGGTTTCCATAAACGTTTTTACGGGCGGTTTTTGGAAATCGTTGTTCCGCTCGTGCCCTTCACTTGAAAATAACATGGAATGAATTTTAGTAGTAATTCTAGGGTTTTATGTTAGTTTTGATTGAAAATTTAACGAATCTAAGAGTTTTGTAACAAAAAATTTATTTATCACAATTATCTTAATACAAATACAAATTAGACCACATTACAGTAATAAAAATAGAATACATATTTATTGTAATTCATTTGAGCATTTTGCACTTTGTGGTTGTTGGATACAGTATTATTGTGCTGTAATTTTCCAACCTCCCATCTATCCATAGAATAAGATTAAATTTCCACACCGGTACTATGCGTATTTGCTTATAATTTGTTTAACTCTGAGGGTTGCTGCTGATTAATACTGGATTCTACATGATGGCTGACAGACCTATTTTTTCAAGGGTATGAGTTTATCCAAATACACTCAGCGGACTTTTTGTTTCAAGAACAAATGGTAATTCTGCCCAGGAATCGTTTCCTTTAACAGACTTTATTGAAAAAAAAAATACGGATTTGCAATCACAAAAAGTCGAGTCTGTTTATCATTAAGCTGTTCTTTTAATTTTGCACTATCCAGTTACCTGCATCATAATTTCGGCGCCCTCTTTTTATGTCATAACACTTTTTTAGGGTAAAGATAAACTATAATCAATTTTTTGTGGAGGAAGACTTTGTGTTTTCTTTTTGAATTAAATTTCAAATTTAAAATCCTCCTAAAGAGGATGGCCTACTTCTTTAATTTATAAACGATGACCTAAAGTTGTCTTGAGATAATAGTACATTATATACCTAGGTAGAGAAGTTGGTCATTATAATGCGTAAGGTATATAATGACTTTCTCTACCGTGGAATATATAGAATTTTTTTTACTACTGCTATAGTACAAAATAAAAAATAAGTTTGAAATCTGTGCTCAAATTATTATCCCTAGTTGGAAGTGCTGCCCTCTATCAACATCTATGGTAATTTCCTATAATACATACAGGAACCTGTTTTTTTGATTAAATTGACAGTTTGAAATTGAAATTAAACCAATAGAAACCTGTAACGTTATGACAATATCCTTGCGTCATGACGTCATTTTCATTATTGACCTAGGTTTTTTTTCATTATTTTCATTATTAACCTAGGGAGAGAAATTCAATTTTTTCTTAGAAAAATAGATTGAATAATGTCTATTTCTCAGGTCAGTAGTAAAAAAAATGTATTTTTACCTCTCCAGGATTTTTAATAGAATTAAAAAATCCAAATGAATTCATAATATCACGTTACATTACACCCAAAAGTTCAAAGATCAATATAATTTAGGTATTATTTATAAAAGTATCCATATTCAGTAGTAGTAAATGTAGATAGTTCGTTCTGCATCATGAGGAGGAGGAGGTGGTGAATGAAAATACCTGGATCACGATACTCGATCTCGATTGAAATTGACCGAAAATGACCATAGTCCGACTGTTTGAAAATAGATTTGAGATAAATTTTAAATCAAATTGTCTTTGCCTATAGAACCTGTGTGTGTACATGAATCGAACTGTACGATGTACAGTTTTTCGGCGTGTTGAAGCGAACCTTTTACATCCGTAACATCCTAACATGAACACGAATGCTGAATATCACCAATACTTACCGCTCAATGAATACATTCTATATACTTTGCAGATGGCCAAGTATTAATTGCACAGGACTATGATGGCATAGAGAACATGATACGTGAATTGATAAAGGAATAGAAGAAATGTGGTTTGGAAGTAAATCTGACAAAAACAGAATACATGATCATAGTAAGAGAGCAACGAAACCTGAAATTAAATAACGGGCAAGAAATAAACCAATGTACTGAATCAAAGATAATCCTACTTGGGAGTGGGATTATCTTTGACTGGAAATGGAAATCTCGCATGAGGGAACCCCAGACGAAGCAATTATCGAACGGAATATACTAGGGCGCAAGGTAATATCTACTAAATAGAGTACGGTGGGCCCGAAATATCAATAAAACTAACCAAACTAGATTATGCAACACCATATACTCAAAAGCTTAGTCACATATAGTTCAGAAGTCTGGCCACTAAAGAACAGAACCGCAAAAATGCTGGAAACAACTGAAATGCGACTTTTGAAGGGAAGCGGCAAGCAGGTCGAAAATGGAAAGAATAACGAATGTGAGAATTAGGAAAATTATGGACGTAAGACACATAGTAGATGATATAAAGAATAAACAACTGATTTGGTTCAGACATGTACAAAAAATGGCAGATACAAGAATACCCAAGCAAATTATTGAGTGGAAACCAGGGAGAAGACGAAGAATCGGGTCACAGCGCTATATAAAATGCATCCAGTAGTATTACTATTCAGTCCGGAATCCTCTCTCGGCCTAGAAAGTAGAGTTAAGAAAATATTTAAGCTCTTCTTGTGGCTTTTCGTGATTGTGAGTTTTTGTGAAATTACTTTTGAAATAGTAAGTACTATAGTGAATTATTTAAAGCGCAAAGTAGGGAAATGCAAGTATTTATCCAGAAAATACTGAGCGTAGACGTAATAGACTGGTGCAGTTTGAGATAGCTTCATGTAGTTTAATATACAATGTATAATATATATTTTTTTTAAATTAGCAATGCGTTAATATAATGGACATGCGCAGTGAGTTATTTTTGATTAGACATCAAATTACGTATTTAGGTATATTTAGATATTGTCACGAAACGTCACTGCTTCGCTGTGTAGCTCGACTATTCACCCTGAAAAGCAGAACGGGAAGGGAGGAGACTACGGAAACATGAATATTTAGTTATTACCACATCATCGTCATCTGGGACCAGATAACGTCCCTTCGGGTGGTGAGGCTCAAAAAAGGGCGGACAGTCAAACGTCGGGTATACCCCTGCAAAGCTAAACAACCAAACCAGCCCTACAGGAAAATCTAGAAAGCCTTTTCACTGTAGGTCAAAGCCTGGGTCGTCAGAGAGTATCTGCCCTGATAGAGATACGATAGCGTATTAACTTTATCAGTCCAGATAGTTCCCCAACTTTGAGTCGTCTCTAAACACCTACTGATTGCAGCGAAGCGCTGAGACACGACTAATTTGCCATAGTGTGGCCCGGGCTTTTATATCCAATATTTGCTGACTATGATTAGGATAATTTGTGTTTTCTTGCTTAGTTGCAGTTATTTGTTATAACCCGTGGTTCAGTGTTTTGAATTTGGTTATAGCCCGTGGTCCCATGTAGGGTTGACACATGCCCCTCCCGATGAAGTCATTGGCCCCACAATGCCCGAGGAGACGTATCTGGCTTCAAAAACTTTAAAAAAATACAAAAACTTTAAATAAAACTTAAAACTACATTATTCATCTTCGGGCGTCTTCTTCTTTGTGATTGGTTCTTTGTGCGTGTCCATTCTTCCATGGCTTCGAACACTAGAACAGTGTCTGCGGTTTGCTTCTACTTCGTTGGTGATTCTCTGGGTTTTGGTGGTTCCAAGGCTTGTTTGCCTGGATCACTCTTGTAGATGTTCTGGTTTTGCTTTCATGTCAGTGGACTCCTTGTGTTCTGACAACGTCTTCTGCTGTGTTGCCTAGGCTTATTGGCTCAGACTTTGACTGAAGGTAGTGGATCTACGTTGTGGGTCTAGGCTAGCAATTGGCCTAGGTTGGTCTTGTAGATGTGGTGGTCTTGGTCCAAACAATTCTTCTTGTAGATGTTCTGACAACGTTTCACGCATGTCGTGGTATCTAGGTTGTTGGATCCCATGTCGTGGATCTAGGCTAGCGATTGACCTAGGTTGGTCTTGAAGATGTTGTGGTCTTGGTTCAAACAATTGTTCTTGTAGATGTTCTGACAACGTTTCACGCATGTCGTGGTATCTAGGGTTGGGTCCCATGTCGTGAATCTAGGCTAGCGATTGGCCTAGGTCGATCTTGAAGATGTTGTGGTCTTGGTCCAAACAATTGCTTTTGTAGATGTTCTGGCGTTGTCTTCCGCATGTCGTGGTATCTGGGCTAGTGTACCCAATGTCGTGAATTCTTGGCCCGTGATTTGCTTTTCGTAGTGGACCTTGTTTCTCGTAGGGGACCTTTGGTTGGAAGCTTGTTCCGTGGTTGTGGCGCTTTGAATAGTGCCCCTAGCTTTTTGAGTTTTCTCCTTTGAAGTTCCCGCTGCCACTGGAAGGTTATGGTTGAGACGCCTCTGCCATGTTTTACTGTACAAAAGTGATTAGCAAAGTTTACAAAATTTTCGAGTTTTATTTACATCCTATAGTACGGAAATCTCTTACCTTTTTATCATTTATATATAATAATAATTATCCTTACTTACTATCCCTTGTTATACCTGCTATATACATATATTTTTTGTAACCTAATACCTGACTTTATATTATGTATCCTTATTTATCTTATATTATTATAACTTTATCCCTAATTTCCATTAAGTTGCTGGCCAGCAATATTTTACCTAACCAACATTCCTAAGCAACTAGTTAAAGACATAATCAACAAACAATATAAATATCTATCTAGTTATATTGAAATCTCTAAGAAAATGCTCCTAGATAGTGTCGACTTCTGCTTTGATACGAGTTATTTCACTTTTGATCAAGATATTTATTTACAAAAAGATGGAACAGCTATGGGGAATCCAGCTAGTCCCATATTAGCTAATTTGGTTATGAACTATGTTGTTACTGAAGTAACACAAAAATTACCATTTTCTCTACCCTTTTTTTACATTTTTGTTGATGATTCGTGTCTTGCAGCACCAGCTGATAAACTAGATTTTCTACTAACGACTTTTAATAGTTTTCATAGATCTTTGCAATTTACAATGGAAGTAGAAACAGATGGCAAGTTGTGTTTCTTAGATACTGAGGTCCACAGAGAAACAGATGGATCTATTTCAACTAATTGGTACTCTAAACCAAGTAGTTCAGGGAGGATCCTGAATTTTCTTTCTAACCATCCCACATCCAATAAAGTTGGTATAATTAATGGACTTTTGTATCGAGCTACCAAACTGAGTAGCCAAAAATTTCATAATCAAAACATGAACAAAATAAAAACCTTACTAAGAAACAACAATTACCCCACCAAATTTATTAACATTTCTATCAACAAATTTAACAATAAAACACCATCCCTCCGAGATAATTCTAAAAAATACTACAAATTTCCTTATATCGAAGGCTTATCCCAACAAGTCAAACGTTGCTTCATAGACATGAATACAGAACTAGCATTTTACAATGTGAAAACCACAAAGGAGTTCTTTACTAGATTGAAAGACTCTACTCCCATGGATAAACAATCTAATCTTATATACCATATTCCCTGTGAATGTGGAAAAAGCTATGTTGGACAGACCAAGCAATATCTGGAGAAACGTATGAAACAACACAAGAATGACTGTAAGAATGACAAAAGATATGATGAGGAGAAAACAGCCCTCTCCAAACATCATTTCGAGTTCCAACACAATTTCCGATTTCAGGACACAACTATTTTAGATAAGGAACCAAACTACTCTAAAAGACTTATCAGTGAAATGATTCAGATTCATTTACATGACACCATCAATTTAAGAACTGATGTGAGGGGATTAAGTACTTTATATTGCAATATTTTAGATAAGTACAAATCTAAAATTAACAAAAAATAATAATTATATCTTAGCTGTGATAACATATATTATTTGCCTGTGATTTTCTAAGTGTTAATTTTAGATGTAAATTGTTTTAATATTTTATATGTTTTAATCTGTTTGTAATGTCGTTAGTCTAACTAGCAGTTTTTAACACTTTCAAAGATATTTTTTTTTTTTTTTTTTTTTTTTTTTTTTTTCATATAAGTACTATATTTTTTATGATCATTAACTAATGGAAAAAATTTTGTGTTGGTAGAAGTGATAATGCTTTGTTTATGTTCAATTTTATTTTTTTTTTTTTGATATCTCATTGTCTTTTCGTTTTTTGTGATTTAAATTAGTGAACGTCTCGCAATTGTTGTGATGGTGATGTATGATGTAGCACTTATTGTGACGTCACACCGTTGCTGTGTGAATACAGCCTAATGGCTCTCCATAACCTAACTTTTCGTATAAACAAGGAATTTTACTAAAAAAATCGCTAATAAAAAAAAATCGCGGATCATTGCCAACGATTAATTATTAAATAATTACAACAAGCACCTAGTTCTGCACGATTGGGAGATGTGTAATAGCATTGTTACTTTGTGATGGTTCACATCCACACCAAAAATAAGCCAGGCTTTTTGACTTAATTTTCTAATGTAAGTGGTTAAGCTTTTCATTTATTTGCATGATATGATTAATAGGAGTGTTTTGTTACATTAGGGTTGAAAAAGGCGCAATACAGCACCGAAACGTCCCGAAGAATAATTAGTCTTTTCTTGCCTATCCCATAACCCACGAAACAATAAACAATATATAATGGAGGGATACGAATATCAAACAATTTTACCTAATATTATTTCATATTTTTATATCCTATTATATCAACTTACAAAAAAAAATTAAAAAAAAAATTATACAAATTTGTTCATTACGTTCCTGTAATAATTCATTCGCTTATTTTAGCTCAAGCCTTGATTTTGCAGTAGGTACTTCCGTCAGCAACCATTGTTGTAGCTGGCGTTGGTTTGCTTAGCTTGCATCTGATTTCATTGTTTTCTAGTTTCTCAATAAGCAATAGGCTATACACCGTGGGTTCTGCTCGAGTATAAGTTTGCTTATTAATCAAATTTTGGTTTATTTTATACATCAAATATATGACGAATATTAATAGCAGACTTGTGTGGTATAGAATAAAGCAATGCTTGCGGTTTTTTGATTATCATAATAATTATGTTTCTATATGCTATATTAAAAATATGCTCATTAAATTAATAGTGAGTAGGTATATTTTTTCTATCTTAAAGTTTTATGTTTCCGATGTGGGTCGCGATCCCAATCGATTTCGTACTAATTTTTGAGGCCTCAGTATTCGCTGATTTCCTCTATTTCTTCCTCATTTTCATCAACATTACTCTCTGTTTCTGATTCCTCTAACATTTCTTCTAAAACTGGGGAATCCCCTGTCCAAGGGTCGTAGTAGGGCAGTATCCTACTTACATGAACCGTGTCCTTCTTTTTTCCCCCAATTTTCTCAACTTCATAGTCGACCTCTCCTAATTTTCTTAACACTTTGTATGGTCCGAACCATTTTATTGGCAATTTCTCGCTTCGGCCTTCTTTTCTCACTGGCACGAAAATTTTCACTTTATCTCCAATATCAAACTTCAACTCTCTATGTTTGCTGTCGAATCGTACTTTATCCTTTATTTGCCTCTTGCAAATATTCTCCGCCGCTATGGCCCTTATAGCTAGCGCTTTTTCCCTCAAGTGTAGCGTATCAGCCTCTGAGTCACTTTCAATCAACATTGCTTCCGATGGAATGGTCGGTTCCTTGGCGAAAGTCACCATAAACGGGCTAAGCTTTGTGCTATCTTGAATCACTCTGCTCCTTTTTCTCCTCTACATCTAGTGCTTCTTCCTAATTGTGTGATCGATACATAATAGTCTTCTGTCGTTTCTGTTTTTTGGTAACATAACTCTGACGTTGACTACTTTTTGTTGACCCTTTTTTTAAACATTTATTCATTTTCTGATAATCCTTCGTCTTTTTCGTTAACTTCTTCATCTTCCGAGTCTCTTTCTACCATATTGTTTTCAACTGCCACTTTTGAGTCTCCCTTGTGTATTTTGCTCGACGTCAATTTGGACTTCAAGAAGCAATTTTGTCTACTCATCAAATATTGTTGATCGATTCCGCTCACAAATTACGTTGATTTTGAATTTCAGAGTTTTTGTTTAAATTATTATTGACGAAATTAATTTTAAGTATCTGGTGTATCCCTTTTATGTTTGGATTAGTTAAGGGAGAGGTTATAGGGTATTTTCCTTCCGTCGTTCAGAGTGGTCCTGACTGTTTCCCTTGGCTAGGTCGTCAAGGTGTTCCAGGAAAGCGGCGCCTCCACCAAATGTCACGAAACGTCTCTGCTTCACCCTGAAAAGCAGAACGGGAAGGGGGGAGTAACAGGGAAACACCAGAACAGTTTTAAATAGCTAATATATATTGTTACAGGACGGAGATTACGGAAACATGAATATTTAGTTATTACCACATCATCGTCATCTGGGACCAGATAACGTCCCTTCGGGACAGGGCGGACAGTCAAACATCGGGTATACCCCTGCAAAGCTAAACAACCAAACCAGCCCTACAGGAAAATCTAGAAAGCCTTTTCACTGTAGGTCAAAGCCTGGGTCGTCAGAGAGTATCTGCCCTGATAGAGATACGATAGCGTATTAACTTTATCAGTCCAGATAGTTCCCCAACTTTGAGTCGTCTCTAAACACCTACTGATTGCAGCGAAGCGCTGAGCACGACTAATTTGCCATAGTGTGGCCCGGGCTTTTATATCCAATATTTGCTAACTATGATTAGGATAATTTGTGTTTTCTTGCTTAGTTGCAGTTATTTGTTATAACCCGTGGTTCAGTGTTTTGAATTTGGTTATAGCCCGTGGTCCCATGTAGGGTTGACAATATAACCGAAATTCACCCAAGCACAATCGTTATGTATATGCGCCGTAAATTATTTCCTTATGATAAAACATATAGCTAGGAATTTTTCGAGTATCTAGATTTTTTTATCTGTTTTCTGGCGAGAAAGCATTTTTCCAAAAACTCCCAAACTTACAGCACAGCTAAAGACCCCGCAAGCTCCACAACCAAGCGAGCCAGACTTGATTTCACTGGTAAGATTTTCATATCTATTTTCCTATATTTACTTTTATTAATTATGATCTTCCAGGACCTTCAACATCG